ACAAACACGAATATCCAAAATGGCAAATATGCAGACTGAATTAAATCAAGGCCCACTAATGTCAAACCTTCTTGTTACCAGAGAAGCCCCCTGTACCCAGGGTTCAAATAACGCTAATACTCAAATGCCACCTTACAACTCACAGTTTCAGGAATAAGAGACAACTCCCAGGAGGGTAGCTTGTTAAACCCAAAGGAAAAAAAAACATAATTGAAAAGAAAAACAAACAAAAAAAACAGGTGTATCTGTTTTTCAGATAATGTTGGCAACACCAGACCTGTGAGGAATGACAACAGGAAAAAGTAAATTTATTTGCAGCTAGGAAACGTGTGGGTTAGGGGAAGGGCAAACAACAGCCCAAGACGAGCAGATACAGAGAGAGCCCCCAGAGGCTGCTCCATGCAGCAGCAGCTGCTGTAGGCAGAGCATCCATTTACATACATATAAAATGACAGCATTTAAATACTTTTCTTTGAGAAAAAGTAAAGACATCGCCACAGACATGTTCATTTTACCTAGCTCTGACTACTTTTAATTACTTCAGTCCTTCAGAACGGATTAAGATGTTGGCATGGCAGGGTAGGAACATCATTAATCTTTACTGTAAGAAGGGAAGAAAGAACCTCTAGTGATTTAAAGAAGATATGTATTTTTAAAATCAGATCTCAAGCCAATTATACTGAAGAATAAACCACAAATTGGATGACAACTGCACTGCATATCCCTACAGGCCAGACTTAAAGCTGTTTGGGTGCAGTTATAGGCCTTAAAATGCCTAGATTTACTTCAGATTGAATCTGAGCCTCAAAATACCTGTGAGTATATAAAAAAGGAGACAGTCACCTGACCTACTTTTTACTCCTAACATAATTGTACCAGGTGATATTTCAAAATGTGTATTTTAGACTGGACATAATTGACTTGATTTTGATATTTGAGCACTGTATATACATTTAAGTGTGAAAACACTTAAATCTGGCTAAAGAGGGAAGGAAAGGCAACCAAAATTAGTTTGATAATTGGTTAATTAACAATTGAAAATTACTTCAGATACTTTCTCCTATGACCTTTTTTTTCCCCCCAAACTGTTAGGAAGTAGAATCAGATGCTAACACACAAATCATTGCTACTTCAAGCCAAATGCTTTGTATTTGCAATGACTTTAAAGGTTGCAAATTCCACTCCGGAAACACGGCTTCCCAATCCTTGATGTCCTGCTGCAAGCTTACTGTTTTTCAGCATTTCAGCACCTCTAAATCACAACAACTATGTGCACTTGCACACAAAGCCCAACAATTATACACTTGCACTCTGAAAAGCCCCAGTTATCAGCTGGCATCTCAGCAGAGATAAAGAAAGAATCTTTTAGATCATTCCTGAAGTTTAAAAGCATCTCTAAGGTTCGGTGTTAAATAGCTTTCAATATGGCAATTAAAGTTTCAGAGATTTGTATTTTTACCTACTCAGACTTTTTTTTCCTAGTCAGAAAAAAGTAGAAATGGATTATTCTCATAAAATGATAAAGAAGCTAAATCAGTTTTTTTTTTTTTTTTCATTTTAAAAATAAAAGGTACGATTGCCAACTTAAAGAGGTGCCAAAATAAAAGAATGAGACAGATGCCCTCTTTTAAGTATGGAAATAATACATGACAATATTATCTCCAAAATTACAGCCTTCTTATCAGTCCACACACCTTTCTAAACTCTCATCATTATCTTCTCTCGTTTTTCCCCCTAAAGAAAGTCTAAAAGAAAGCCTAAAAGAAAGTCAAGAGGGCAATGCTATAAAATTCTTAAATTTTTATTTTTTAGCTTATTAAATGTAGCTCCTCTTATGGGAATAAGTTTGGGTTGAGAGTTTGGGGGGTTTTGTTTGTTTTACACTAGCAAATTAATGTTTTTAATTAATTTCATAGTTTGTTTTAAACTAGGAAATTAATCAAATTAATGAACAAAGACTTTGCTAACATTTCCCCAACTAATAAGCAACAGAAGTTATTCAATCTCTCTATTTTCATCTGTACACACACAAATTGTACTTAAGAGCCAAGATTACCTCACCGCCCCCAAGCAATAACGAAGAGCACGCTCTTGCCTAATACTTTCTCATTAGAGGTTAGCAGCTTTAATGCTAAGTTATTACAGGCAAGTGAAGAGTCTTAGGGCTGCATTAGTGCTCTGACCTGTCTCCAGCCCAGCTGTGCACAGGCACCACTGCCACTTGCGTGGTTCTGGTTAGGACATACCACATTTCAAAAGAAACCTTACCTTCAACATTAAGCAAAGCTATACTAGTAAGGATAGTAGGACACGGTTACCAAAACCTAGGCAAGTTTTGCCCAAACTTGCAAGAGGTGGGCAAGAAAAGAGGTGGTGTGGCCCCAAGATGCTTGGGTATTGAAGAGCTCAGTACAATCCGTCCATCTTTTACCACAGCACTGGCTTTACTGTGGAATTACTCGTGGGTGTTCACAGTGTATATTCTTTCCATTTCCACTTTGTGAACTAGCTTCCATCAGCACTGACCAGGTATGTTTTTTTTCCCTAATACTACTACAGTTAAGGTTGGTTTCTTGCTATGCACATTTTGAAGGAAAACAAATAAACAAATAAACAAATAAAAAACCCAACAACTAAAATTCTTGCTAATTCTTGCTGTTGCTTATTATTTTACTTTTCCTTTCTTCTTCTTCTTCTAAGCCCAAGATTTTCTTTCATTTATTATTCAAATCCATGAGGATCTCCACATTCTTGTTTCAGCTCTATGCACTAATGTATTATAGCGGAGTTCAGTAAGGCTGATGATGCAGGATTCCTCCTTTTCCATGCAACAGGGGTGATAAAGCAAAGACATCATGTGGCAAGAGATTCACAAGAGCAAAAAATAAAAAATATCACACATTTTAAAAGGTGCCAGAATAAGGGAAGTTAATCTTTGTACATACCTCTGCCTTAATGAAAACCACACACTCATTGACAGCAATGGACATATTGCCATGCTGAAAGGAATACATTTCATCTTGTTTTAAGATGGCAAAAGATACCATCTCCAATAGTTACAATTTTTACCACTCCAGATACAGAAACCATAATTGACTGGCAAATATATCTTATCTTTCTCACCAGGTATTCAAGTAAGAGGGATTAAGAGTGTTCATGCGTATTTTCTTTTTTTACTCAACTTGAAATAAAACACAGTGTTCTACAGAGGAAAAAGAAAAAAAAAAGGCAGCACCATCCTCATCTTAAGATTAATAACGTGTCTCTTTATTAGGTCAAGTCATACGTCATAGATTTTTTGAGGAAAAAAAAAATCCTTGTTCACCTTCAGACATTTAAAAGATAAAGCAAGGTTACAAAAATGTCAAGCCAATATATTAACTCGATTACAAGTAAATCTAGTGATCTTTATCTTTGCCAAGAAAATTTATTTCTTTAGATAACAAACATTTTTTTGATGCTCTGAATTTCTGTATCTGATATAACCTACAGAATGAAGCTCCAAAATACATACCTTTGAATGCACTGATATCACCATAGTGCACCTGCAGCACAAAGTATTTGCTCCCTGTTTCTCCTCCAACTCGGAATCCAACACCTTAAGAGAAGAAAAACTCATTAAGATTTCAGAAATAATAAAATGTAAAATGGTTTGTCACTGCTGACAGTACCTAAAAATACTGAATACCGCAGTGTCTTACAGTGAAAAGGTAGAAATGTTCCCGAAATATCACCCAGAACACGCTACCCTGAAAGCTAGAGAAAACCACCAGCGTACGTGCTCAAACACACTAAGGTAGGTCTCCAAGTTAACTAGTACTGAATAATTACTCAGACTCCTGCTTTAAGCAAGGAGCTCGTTCCAAGAGCTGAAGGCAGAAACACAGATTTGACACAACTATTGAGGGGAAGGCAAAATAAATAAATCAAAAATTAAAAAAAAATTGGCCACCCCACTCAGCTTTGGTAGAATTTCATTTTTTATATTACTATCCTCCTTGGAAGAGACAGTATTAAAACTGACCTAAGAACACACCAAGAATGAAGAAACTAAAATTTGCACTACACAGTTCACTTCCATTCCCAAGTATTTTAGTCTAGAAAAAAAACTTGTGGAAGTTATGAAACTATGTCAGGTATTTTAAACAGAAGTAACAGTAAAGACAGAAAAAGAATTTGAAATAATGAACACAGGCTGCATCACAAAAACAAAATTTTCTATACTGATTCTATATTAAATACACATAGAATCAGAAAAAAAAGCAATTTCTGCTTATTCAGACAGTGAATCCCCCTAGATTAAAAACTGCCAATGGTAAAACCTACTTGTAAAGGTGACCGCAGAAGTAATAGTGTTATAAAATAACCCTCTATGGGCATCTTGGAGACAAGAAAATTACTACTCGCTGGAATTTAACACCAGAGTAAATACCAGGCCTCCAGAGAGTCCACGCAATATTTTTTTTTTCCTTTCAGACTGCACGCTGATAACCAAACCAAATATCATCATTGCTGATAAATATATAAATGCACAGTGCACTGCTTCGGGTTATGAAAACTGGTAGTAAAAATGCAAAGAAAAAAAACTCCAGGTATTTTCAAACTGAGGCTTTTTAGAGGGTAGATATCCCCAGTACTCTTGGGAGTTTGTTAGAAAGAACCGCTTCTCACTGTCTTTCAGAAGTGCCATTCTTACTAGCCTAGGAAATTTTGACTATGTGCAGGAAAAATATTCACTTCTATACAAATGTATGTATGAATATGCCATCCAACTGCAACAAAACATTATGAAATGAAAAATACGTTAAATTATCCAATATATTAAGACCACAGAAAATACCAATGTTTAGAGGAAAATTTTTATGTGCTTTCCTAAACATATGAAAATATATTAACAGCTTCAGAGGCAGGCTATAAACTGTGCCACTGAATGATGTGTAAATAGTGCACTTTTAGTAACACACTGCGGAAAAATCCAAGATTAACACTATATATAAATCAAGCATTATACTATGCTCTCCTTCAGCCTTTTTTTCCCCTCTACTGAAGCCCATAATGTTACAGCAAACAGCATGCCAAAGAAAACCTCCAAAATATATTATCTAGCACAATGCATTCACAGCTTAGGAAGTTACAGTTTACCCAGCAGCAACTAAGAGATAATAAAACACTACAGGGGATTCCTAGTGATGCCAAATGATTATTTCCACGTCTTCTTCTCCCTTGTGCCCCCACATTCGAGCATTTCACATAGAGAGCACAATACCTCTGGGCAACCGGGTGGGAGGAGCGTTTCTTGCCCACGCGTACAAAATGTTCGATTTGTCTTTGCACGTTCCTTCATCACAGTCCCTAAAAACAGGAAGAAGGAAAACAAAAGGGTATATGATTATTTCTCTCCATTCTGAAATCTGCAAATGCCAGGTGAATGACATACCAATAAATAAATAAATAAATAAATAAGGTATATGAAGATGTTTTTGGAGGTATTTGGTTTAAACACAATTCTCCTAATTTAGGACATATTCCTTGCTGTCACTAGGTCCTCTATCTTAATCTTTTTTTTTTTTTTTCATTCACTCCTTCTCTTTCATTTTCATCTCTTTCTTTCATTTCACTGCACTGTTTTTAATTATTTCTTCTACTTATGAAAAACAAGGCATCTGCAGACCTCAGAGAGGTCACAGCCACCTACTATAACCATGAGCTCTGTAGCTGTTGTCCCCAGCCTCTGCAGCTGGAAAGCTGCAGGTGACATCGAGGACAGAGGAGGCACTCCAGAGCTGAGGCCACTGAGCAGACACACAAGCAGGACAAGCGGTCACAGTCCTCCCAGATGAGTTTGCTTGGAGTTCTTCTGCGTTTGTTTTAAAGGTCCCTACAGAGCTGAATGGATAAAGGGTGACTAGAAAGCCCCATGCCAAACAAATGGTCTGTGATGAAAAGCAGTGGGTAAGGGTTTCCCAAGGGCTACCAAGCCTTGGAGACCAGTACTGCTGCTGAACCCACAAGACCTAATAAAGTGTGTGTGGTGGGGGGGACCCCTGTAAAGGTGACTGACACCCAGTAGCACTGAGAGCACCTTGGGTGACTTGGACCACAGCCAAGGGGGTGGGCTGCGCTCTGCGGATACGGGATTATACAGAAGGCTGAGGGGGCCAGGGACTCCAGGGGTCTTTTCAAACGCCTACCTAAAAGCCACCACCGTGTCAGCGTGACCCTTCCCTTGCAAGCAAACGGTTGGGTTTGACCTCCCTATAGTTGCTTCCCTTGGGAAAATGGCTTTATTTTTGTTCATTGGGAAAAGGATGAAACTTTGACACTTCCTCTTACCTAATTTTGCTTACAACATCTAATTTTGCTTGCCCATCTTGCTCATTCCTCCTTCTACCCCCCCCACCCAAAGAAAAAAAAAAAAAAACCCAAAACCAAAAAACCTGCTTTCTGGACAAAACTTATTTCAGTATAAGTAAAATGTTTTGTGCTTACGGATTCATATAGCTGCAGGTAAAACTCAGCCATCTTCAACTGCTACTGTCTAAACAACACAAGAGGTTTTAGGAAACTATCCTAGTATTAGGAGGCAGAGGCCAGAAGCATGCTGGAGAGAGTGGTTAGGAGCAACAGCAGCAGAAACCAAAATCACTGCCTTTACTGTCATCACAACATACCAGGCCTGCAAGCCTTCATTTACACCATGGTATTTGTTAAGACTTGAGGGAAGACCTTCTATTGCATTGGTTAGGTTAAAAAAAAAAAAAAAAATTTAAAGTACGTTGCTCTGAATTCTGTCTTTTTTCTGAAATACTAGTAGTGAAGAAAGCTAAAATACACACACTGCTTAATGTTTTTTTAACAAAAACCCCTACTCATTTAGGCATTAGTGCTGACCTTGAACATATATTTAAAATAAGCATACATTATATAATTATACTAATAATTATAATTTTTATTGTTGATTTTTGGGGTAATATCTATAGGTGATTTTTCATTATGGGGGTTGTGGTAGAAGTGCTCACTGGCTGTTCCTCCCAGCTCCTCTCTTCTGCTTCCCTCTAGGCTCTTTCCAGCTCCCCTGAAGGCAACACAGGCATTCTCCTCAGCCTTGGTAGGCCAAGGAGCCGCTGGAGTTTTCATGACACTGCGGTTCTGACTCATGACCTAGACCGAAGGCAAAATGTTCCATCATGTCTGTGACATAGCTCTTTTACTGTACTTCTAGGGCTGCCAATACCTAACTAAGACTTTGAAGTTTAGGAAATACATGTCTGGACTAAACCACATGTCAGTGTGCTAATGCAGCACACTGAAACTCGCTGCTTGTGCTCTAAATACTCAGACACCCATGTTTTCAAAGAGAAATGACAGCCAGAAAGGGCACATTTTATGCTCCTGGAAGAAGGGAGCTTAAGTTTTGCCAATTCAAGTGGTGTTACCTGCAAAAACTTGTGCAGTCCATCTTGCAGCACCTCCTCTTCTGCTTCCCCACAGCCTATTCTTGATATCTACCCAATCATGACATTTGAATGACCTTAGCTGCAGCAATTATATTTGAATATTAATATAGAAATAGGAGAGATCAAGGGAAAAATATATATGAAATTTGCGTGGAAATAAAACAGTGTTTAAAACCAAATATATCTGCATTAAGAATTTCTTTTTTGCATTTCTTTCTCTATTACACTCCTCTTCATTGATTCTAACCAAAACTGCAAAAAGAGATATTATAAATGGTTATAAATATGTCCTCTTCCTCTTGAGAACTGCTCTGCTACAGCAGTGCTACAAAGCTTGAAATGAAAATGAGATCAGTTTAACGGACTTCTTTAAATCTAAAAGTTGCTTTAATAGCAATTTTTAAAAAGTGAGACGCTTGAGGATACTATTGACATTTGAGCAGACATCTTTAGCAAAGATGCTTGGAAGGACCTGAGAAACCCGGGAAGAGTAGATCTGTGCGGCAGGGACTGCGGGAACGCACTCTGTTCTCCGAGCCCAACGGCAGGGACAATCCTGCCACACCGACAGCGGAGGGAAGCTGCACCGGGCAGCACGGAGCTTCAGCTCCCCGCTCCCTCGTAGGGCAGTCTTGTTCCCTGCTTCACATCCCCCGCGACCCTCGCTGGAATGAGCGATGGCGCAACTTCCAAGCCAAAGCTTCCAAAATCATGCCCTGCTTCCAAGGGAATTAGTTGTTTTGACGGAGGACTTAGTCGGTGGTAACCTATGGCCTCTTTTGGCTGGAGAGCTGGTTAAAATTAGGTGTCCTGATCTCACTAAAGGCTCTGTCTAGAAATCATCTGAAATGGGGAATTCATTTCATGGGCTGTTTTGATGCTGCATGACACTTGTCCTGCTAAGAAAGCCAAGAAGTTCCATGAAGTTGTCCAATCTTTCCTGTCTTCCCCCCTTCTCAAAAAAGTATATTCTGGATGACCTATGGAGAACTTATCAGAACTTTCTATTAAACATATCTGACATACATACTTTGGCTTCAGCACGGTTTATCAGCTTAGACAAAACTGCATATGATAGTGGCTGAACTGTTTCTAGGGTCAATTACCATCAAGAAACAGAAGTGGCTCCAGGATTAATTTTTTCCCTTCCCATTGAGAAAAATCTGAGCAAATCAGCCCCTTGTTTCTGGGGAAAGCTCTTTGAGCCTCTGCTGCTTCCGCATTAGGCCCAGCTACATTCACACAGTAGATGGGCACACATCCCTTCAGCTGGGACGTTCAGGTGGAAGTCATCTCAGCAGCTTCCCAAAGGGAAGAGAGCTGCATGGGACATGTCATTCTGTGTGGAGACAACTCATGTCCATCTCACAGCCTTCTGGAAGGCCAAATAGCATAAAGTTACCAGAAAAGGACTGTGGAGAGGCCACCGTTTGAGTTCAGCTCTACCATGACCACCAGAAATTAAACAACAGCTACATGCTGGGTTGTCCATGTCAATAGTAAGGGAAGGATCCCTGCTAAACAAGCCTTGCAATGTTCTCAATATGTCAGTTCTCAGGCACTGATTTTTTTTTTTCTCCCAGTATATGGAAGAGTAAGCAAGATCAGCATTATTAGTCACGAGGAAAGAAAATATTAGCAAAGAACAAATCAACAAAACAGAAACCAAAAAACATATACAGTAATACAGTCAAGAGATTAACATAATTGTTTACAACAGCTAGAAACTAAAGCTAGTAAATTTAAGCTAGCAAGAAAACACTCATTTTTAAAGGTAATTACAATTACTCTCTGAACCAGTTTAAAGGTGCAACAGATGCTCCACATCTGAAAGTCTGAGTGTATCTATATATACACACACACACACACAATATTAACTACATGTATACACACAAAAAAAAACCCTTAAGACATTTACATAAGTGTGCCTGAATATGCACATGTGCACGTGTGTCAAACAGGCATAAATTCAGGAAATCTGAAAAGCCTGCTTTTATACAGACCAGATGTGATGATCCTTCTAGCCTTACAGATGGCTATGGGCAAAGCAAGACGAACTGCTGCAATCTGTTGCAGGAAAGGATATAGGAAATGGTGAGGCTCTGGATGAAGTGTTTGCATGCTGAGAATATAAGGCTTACAGAAAAAAAATATTTAATTGAAACTGGCACATAAATCATGAAGATCAGATTTCAATCTGACATTAATGAAGAGAATCCAGAGTCTCCATCTGATGGGCAGGTGTCCATGGGAATCACCACCCAGAAACAAAGCTCCATTAGCTGCCACACTGCAAGCAGCATCACTGGCAAGTTCCCTCCTGGGTGATTGTTCTCACCTAGGAAGAAGGACGTAGGAAAAAGGTCCCGGAATCCAAATCAAGCCTAGAATTCAAGTCTGATCCAGCTTGGCAGAACTTATGATTTTCAAGCTATTGACCTACCTCTTCACATCTAAAAGCCTCACATCAGAGGCTCTGAGATGACAGGTCCACTGACACATTGCTCGAGTTGCCATCCCTAGGCCAAAAAGGCCTCCCAAAAACCTACCAAGGCTGTGAGACTCGTACCCTGTAAGGAGCTTGCAGCTCTTCCTCTCAGTGCTGCAGAGACCCCCAATCATGACTTTTGAGGCATGGTTAAAGAATATTTCCTTAGCTTCATACCTTTTAATTTTCTTTATTTTGGTGTGAAAAATACATTATACTATCCGACTAAATTCCATTTCCAGTTATCTTACTGGTAAATATTTAACAGATAAATTCAGATTACCAAGCTGCACAAGAAAACCTGTCTTAAACCTGCTCCACAGATCAAATTCAGCTAGTGAAGCTTTCGGCAGCGTCAGCAGAGCCTCCTAACAGGCTGGGTCCCCAGAACGGCTTCAAGACCAGTGGCTTCTCCCACTGGCTCCTCAGGGCTCTGGCTCCTCCTGGGCAGTTCAGCTGCACGCGGGGCTCCCTCACAGCTGCAGAGTTTTGAAAAGCAACAAATCTACCAAACCATCTGCTCTGCACAGCTTCATTCAGCTTACTTTTAGCTCATTTTCCATCTGGACACCTGAGAGATGATTCCCCATGCACAGAAAAGGGCAAGCTACAGAGAAAATATTAGGCCTCTGGTCTAAAGCCACCCCTGGCAACCACCCTCTACTAAACTGAAGGATAATAAAGATAAGGAAAAAATGAGGAATAAACAGGACCTCTTGCTCAAAAAAATAGCCTAGGAGATATACAAGATGGAATGGGTGAATAAAGTCCCAAACAGACACAACACTTCTAAAGGGTCCAGACATGAAGTGGCTTTTGGCCGCTTTTGCCAAAGTGGCATTTGAAGGATGAAACAAAAAAAAATTCAATAAAACCTCCCTGATTTTTTTTGTTTTTAAGTTAACTGCTTGACAATGTTTTATCCCTGTGCTATTCCAGGTTTCATTTCACATCCATGTGCATTGATGTGGATTTGCCTTTACCAGAATTCCCTAGAATTTGGATTATGAAGTGTCTCTTGAAACTTTTATGACTGAACAGACTCCAAGGTACAGGTTGTCCTCAGTAGAAGATTCTTAACTGCAAGAACTGAATCACATTCACTCCCTAGCAGTCTTTATACCTTTTCCCAGGCTATAAAGTCTTTTATATAAAATATTTCCCAAGCATGACTCAAAGGAGGAGATATAGTTTTCCCATTAAAAAAAGCAAGCAAAACAAAACACTTGCTATAAACTTCTTTAAAATCATGAATATCCAAATAGCACTACTTGGATTCAGATTACTTAATACTTATTTGATGTAATTTCATCTAGATATTATAACTACCTTATCTGCCAATAGATAAGAGATGCTGAAATGGTCTAATAGTTTTGGAAATAGGAACATCTCTTTTCCTCAAAGCTTCTCTTTTTTCAGAAGTTGAGTATATTTGTCCCTCACTCAGCATAATAGATTTTCCATATACATATACATACACATATATATATATATATTTATATCCGATTAGAGGAGCTACAGCTGCATTACAGTTAACTAGCAACTTGACCTAGAATAAACAAGCACAAAGCTGCCAAGCGAGCATCACGGTAATTTCGGTGAGGGGGAAAGAAGACATATCCTGTTTTCCCACTCTCACAGATAGCTTAATTTCCTCAATAGTTGCACAGACAGCTCCTCATTATACACTTTGCAAGAGCAGATCATTAATTTGGGCTTCTTGATATGAATCAGAAGTCTAGATTTCTCGGTATTCAGTAGTACCGAGCCACAGCAGCTCTCTGAATTTCAGTGCTTTGAGCTAGAAATAGTATTCAGCAGGTTTACAAAAAGGGCGCTTCAAATTCTAGGCCACGTCAAATATTTGGACTGTCTCCATTTTGGATTATTATGGCAGGGATGTGCATATTTAAACCTTCTTCAAGAAGGTTTCTTTGAGTTAGTCAGGCATCAAGAAGGAGCAAACAAACATCTTCCCTTCCTTACAGGCGGCTCAGTTAAACATAAATAAATCTGTGTTGCAAAGCAACAGTCAAATATATCACAGCCTTAAAATGCAACACTTGCATACACCAACATACCTTCATAAATGTGTTTTCTTTGGTCTTCTGTTCTGAAAATGGTCATTTTTATTTCCCTTCCTTTCCCCCCCACTCCTCCACTTGCAAAATACTACTTCATTCCTGAGTTCATGCTAATTTGTTACAGAACACAGAATACAGACATGTTCTCTGGACATAATTTGGAAAGAGTATGCTAACCACTGTGCTGAGAAAGACCATCCAAGTTACTCCAACCGTGATATTTAAGACATATTGCTGAAGTATTTTTAGCTACAATTCTTAAAGCTTTCAGTAAAATTATCAAAACAGAAGCGTGGGAAGACTACAATGTCACACATTTCTTCCCTTCTTCCTTCACATTTTTTTTTATGCTTAAGAAAAAAAAAAGTGATACTTTAAAAGGTTTATTTGGAGGCAAACAATTTGGGAAATGTTAGGTACAATTATAAACGCAAGGCTGCAAATCTTACCAGTAATCTTCAGTAGAAGAGGGCTCATTACATCCAAAGAGTAACATGTGATGGACAGTGTCCATGCTGGCATGTGGTTTAAAGTCAACTGAAAAACAAAATGATAAAAAAGGCTCTGTAATATTCCACACAAGGAGCACGCACCCCCAGTCACTTTTCTTACCTTCTGCATTACACTTACAGTTTTACAAACTTTTGCTACAATTCTGTGCAATGGTCTTTCTTCCAAGCTAAAGGCAGCACACTTCATTTAGTAATTAAAAAAAAAAAGTTTCCCCACAAAGCTATTTCATTTTTCTCCTATGTTAAATACGACACTTAGTATGCATCTCAACATACCAACAAATTGTAACATACTCAGTCTTTGGAATTCAAAATTTGCACTTGTGATTTAACAGTGCTCCTTTGCTCCTTTATTAATGTCTTGTTTCCATCAAAAACCCAAATGAACAGGATGTTAGAGTTAAGAGCTGTTAGTTGCTGTAATATTTTTTTCTAGCAAAAAAATTTGCTTAGGTTCCATGAAAAAAATTATAATGTATTCTTACTCACATCTAAGCTCCTTTGGAATAGAAACCAATATTAATTTAAAGTTAACACCATCACATTGACCAAATACTCCTCCTTGTTAGAAACTTAGATGAAGGTCAACGTTCAGTATCCCAATGTCTCCGTTTGTGGTACAATGCCACAAAAACACCAGTGCTGCTCTTCCAAAGGCAGTGCTCCTGTTCAGGATAGGACTGTGACGCACAGGAGGGTGCTTGTGGAAACAGAACAAGCTATACCTTAAGTCCCTTTATTCGTACTCAAATAGAACCAATACAGGGAGTGGAAAGGAGTTTTCCTTCATTCCTGCTCCAAGTCAATTCCGGCTGTTGGGCGAAGCCGGGAGATGCAAGTTCCCCGGCTTGCTCTGGGACTCCAGGGCACAGGAGAGATGCTCCAAAAGAAGAGCTCCGTGGGTTATTTTGCACACTGCATCTTCTTCAAAACGGCTTCAGAATTGCTAAGCTCACTAGTACAACTAAAGTCCAAAGACTACATAATCCCTCCCCACATATATACACCAGAAAATGCTACTCATTCCATAGCCATAAAACAAATCTGCGTTACAGAGAGACCTTCTGTTTCGACATTTTTATCATCAATATTTAATAGCAAAGCTATGACTAATTTTTGTGTGGGATGGACAGTATGGGATTCTGTGTGGACTCTCTAGCTTCGTTTCTAGGTGTTTCACGCTGCTCCCGGTTTAAGTGGGTTTCTGAAGGAGTTCCTAAGCAGTTCATAAATGTGAAATACGACCCTCTTTATATGATGCTTCTTTTGACCCCCCTGCCATCCTGTCACCTTTGGTGCTTCCTTGGATGTGTGAGCCAGGAAGGCTTTTGTTCCATCCCCATACAGAGCCTGTTGCAATGACATTCTGGTCTATGTGACCCTTAAACACTGCCGTGAATTATAAAATACTAATATTAATGACAAGGGGAAATAATGCACCACAATTAAAGTAAAATTAGGTTTTTGAATGAGCCATCTGCATACAGCTGCTTTAGCTCTTATATCCGATCATTCCCACTGAGAGAAGAGCCCTAAAAACTTTTCAGTCTGCCTGCTAGGGAGAGAGGGCTCTAGCAAGTGAGTTATTTTCTTGCAGAGCAATTTTCTTTGCAACACTCCCAAGCTTATGTCAGTGGTCCTAAACGGGATGGGGAGGTCCAAAGAAAGCCATTCAAAAATAAAATAAAATACAATTAAAAAGTATTAGTTAAATCGTCATAAAGCGATTACTGAAATGACAGAAGAGTAACAGTTTTAGTATATACCACACTGGATCGAGAATCCGGTCTGCCTTACTGGCCTAACGAGGTGCTGCTCTGGAACACGAACTGCATGAGAAACAGGAGGGAGCAGACCAGAAATGGCTGGAGAAGACACCGACTTCATCTTAACAGCATTTCTTAAACTATGTATTTAACCAATTCATTTCTAACAAGTTCATCTTTGTAAGCAACCACCCCATCATATAACATTGACAGCTTTTTATTCTTTAATAGCTTCCTTCTAAAGAATCTGATCGAATTCCCTTTCAAGAAAGATATCAGCGCATCAGTGTTCAGGGTGATGGATTAGCAGGACCTTCAGCTCGGTGAAGCTGTTGTGTTGAGGTATTAAAGAAGTTTATCTACGCCAGACTAGGGTAACAAGCCCACAACATCCCACAGTCCTGTAGGGGAGAAGAGCAATAAATCATCTAATTACTACCATCTGTGTTGCTGAGCATAACAGGCTCCTTCTCATTTGTAAAGCACCATTTGACAGAGAGGGCCTTATCATCAGTCAGTACGAAAAAGACACATTTATTTACTGGCCAGCCATGTGAGTGAAAGGAAGGAGATGAAGATGACAGTCAAATTTCTTGGCTGAGCAGCTCCCTGTCAGCCTCGGTTCCTATGAGTATCTGTAGGACACCCTTTAGCCATCACTCCTGCTCAGCAGTCACGAGCTGACTTTCATTAAAGCCCACACCACTAAAGACACGGGCTGTTTTCTGCTTTAGCTATATTTATCCATACACGCGCTAACCAAACAGGAGGTGGAAGAAAAAAAATGTTGGTTTGTTTTTAAGCATGACTGTAATTGTACTTCTTTGAAAATGTGCATACTAATCTCACTCATGGCTACGTTCTACATACAAATTTCAGAGGCATTTCCCAAGAGCACAGGCTGTGTGCAACATGAAGTTACACGTCGGACCTGTGGCAAGGTCCACCTCCCCCAAACGAGCACTGCTGCCGGCCTGGCCGGCGTTCACAGCCCCGAGCCCGGGCAAGCCTGCCTGCCTGCCGTGCAGGCTCATTGCTAATTCCAAGTTCATAAGTGGAAATTCCATAAAGAGAGAGCTATGGACAATGCTTTCCGGTCATTAATGGACGCACTACTGGTCACATGCCATGTTACAGCACCGTCTCCTCTTCCAAAGTGTTTAAATTCCATCAACATGCAACAAAAGCGGGGGAAATAAAGGATAACAGAAATGAGTATTACCAGGGAACTGCCACCTACTCTCAGGTAATTCACCCCTCTGTGTTTCTCTTTCTCCTCCCAGGTTTACTCTGTTTGCATCCTGGGCATTCCTACCTGGTTATGCTGCAAGCTCTTTAGATCCTATATTGCCTTCTCAGCAGAGAGGGAAAAGCAAGCCAGCGTGGCAGAAGCTCCTGCTGGCACCTTCAGAAGCTTTTATCATCAAACAGAACAGCAATCTGTGAAAGCTAATGCTCCCATAGCAGTTTTCCAAACAAAAAACAAGTTAAAGACCCCTCTGTCACACCTTACCTAGTTAGATAACATTGGCTATTTGTATTTCCCTTGCATTTTTCAGTGCTTAATCCGAAATGCAGTGAATGCAGAATCTGCTCCAACCAGATAAAAAAACCAGAAGCCACCATTTTTAAAAGAGCGATTTCATTCTGTGTATATCAATCTTTTATGCTTATTTAAGCAGCACAGAACGCATACCTGCAAGTAAGCTGATAATTAGTTCCACACTGCTTAAAGATATTAAGAAACAGTTAAATAAAAATGCCATTAGGCATCTCATTTTTTTAGATAATACTTCTTGTAAAAACCTTTCGCTATATTCTCCTTCCTGAGAAGTTTTAATTTGCTATTCATCTATTTCTGTGACAGGTCATTCTGCATTTTTATGTGCTCCAGATTGAAGATGTCTGTGCCCAGCTTTCTAGGCAGTTTCTACACAATTTCTGTTGATTGCGGAGACTCCAATCTGATAAATCATTTTCTACCGTAATCACTTTCCAGTGACTTCTCATAAATCCAATGGAGTTGACCACATGCTAAATGTTAACCACATACTTGCATGCTTTCCTGGACAACATCCCTTAAAAAGCACGATTTTATTTGTTCTTGTTTTAGGACACACAAATACAAATTTAAGTAATGCTGTTATGGGAAAACTATGTTCACAGAAGAGGATTTTTTTTAATTATTTGCTAATTGAGTTCTTGCTCTTCCCAAAACCCCGACAACTGGAAGAGTTTCTTCATACAGACCCTGTATTATTTTGTGTCACATGTGCTCAAGCACAGTGATCAATGGAACAGTAACTAAATGTGATAAAAGTCTGAAAAAGAAGCATCTAAATAATACAAGCATCTAAAAAATACAAGTTTGTCTGCAGAAATATAAATGGGTTGCCTTATGAGAGCCACATTCAGATTTTACACAAATTTCACTTAAAAAAAAATTTTTTAAAAGAAAACTCTTTAGTGAGTTGCTTTAGATATATATAACCCTCAAAGAATTTCCTGTGGATTTAGTATCAGTAAACAACATATTCCCGAACATGTGCAATATGCCAAAAAAGATTCGAGCTGCGGACTTTTGCTACTCAATGAAGCACTAAATATAAAGTGCTTAAACAGCAGGTTGGCACACCGTTTTATCAATCATGTAAAAACAGAAAAAAAAAAGCAGAAGAGCTTGCTGTGACCACTGCATAGCAGCCATAGATGACCAGAGACTGAACATGCAATCCTCTATATGCTAATCTTTCCTCCCAGAGCTAACCTCATGGTCAAAATTTCATTTTGCAGTCAGGGACCGACTCTACTAAATCTGAGAGAAAGTCTCAAATTTTACCTTTTCTTCCTCCTTTTCTTAGTAATCATCCTACAAATGACAAAAAAAACCCCACCCCAGCACTGCTTTGAGTTAAAATAGCAGTTTATGCAAGGATATTCATGTGAAACTATCAAACTATCATCTCATAATAGACTACAAGGGCTCTCCCCCCCCCGCAAAGAGGCCCAATCTTACTGCATTCACTATTGCCTGCAAGTGTGAGGGATTTGCAGCCCCTACCAGCAGGTAAATAAACAGTGTGCTGAGCAGAGAGGAATGAGGCACCCGGCCCGAGACAGAAAGCCAATACGTTACAAATGGGGCTGCTTGGCCCCGGCTGCCCGCGGCATCTGCATGCAGCTCCCTAACTACTCCTCCTCATGAATCTCTCCAGACACAGTTTGTTATCTCGACTCTAAGTAGCTCTTTCCAGCTTGTTTCTGCATTAGTCATGATGAATGCATTTTAGAAACTCTGACAGCCAAGACTAGAGTTGATAATGGTCATAATAAATAAATAAAACACCTTTTATCTCACTCTTCAACGGCTTACTTAGGTGTATGCAGTCAATCAACACTCACCTACATAGGCTTCATCGTCCACCAGGAGGGGTACTGACATGCAGAGGTAGGTATCGGACTATGAAGAGACACAAAAGAACACAAGTTACCTTAAAAATCAGGCATGCTTAGACTGAACAGAAGCATCAATAATCTGCACATTTCTGATGATGACTATGGCAGTACCAAATAAACCAGTATGAAGATTCCACCCTTATGAAGTGTGTAGCTTAGCACTGAACACTGAACTGAGTGTTTAGCCATGGCAGCGGCTAAACAACCCCTGAAATCCTTGAAAGCAGCAAACCCCTAACTGGAGAGCCTCCTAAGGCAGGCTATTACGATGCTGTGGTCTTTGTCCACCAAAAAAAACAATCAGTAACCTGCTTGTACAACACAGCTACAGCTTGTGCATGTCTGTGGACTACCTGAAAATCAGCAGCCAAGTCAGCCTTGTCTTCAACAATGCAGGAGATAAGTAGGAGAAGCTCCTACAGAAGTACCTGGGACACCATCAGAAGTACCTGGACACCATCAGCCATTTACCTGAACTCTTGGCCAAAGATGAAGTACAATATAGGAATTTCTACTAAAGTAAATTAATTCATTGTCACTTTGTGCTTTTATTCACAGTACTCCATTTCGTCAGTAATGTGGCTTTTAGGATAACAGCTTCACTATAAACTATTCTATTTTTTTTCCCCTCCAACTTCAAAGTTTTGAAAGACAAGATGATCAGTACTTCCTGATCCATGAATATCCATGGACTCCAAATGTGACAGGACTTCCACAAGGTTTGTGCAAAACAGAACAAGTTCTCACTACAAAAACAAAAAACAAAAAACCACCACCAACAAACCCCACAAACCTTCAAGCCTAATTTAAAACAGGAGGCTGTAAATAAACAATGAGATGCAAGTGAGGGGGAAGGACAGGGACACAGGAGATAACGGTGTGCGATTACACAGAGCAGCGATGTACACAGATAAGAAGCTGTTCTTTGTGTTTCTTTACTAGGAAATGGGAAAGATGAACACAGGTCATAGACACAATTGATGTGAATGGTTTTGTGTACCCTGGATATATGCACTTACAGAAGCCAAGTTGAGCATACGAAAGCTTTCAGAGGAAAGCAAAAGGAAATAGTCTAACTTTTCTGTATGAGAGAAAAAAAAATCTACCTGTTCTATTATCTAGGTTCAGAACTAGGGTTTTCTTTTATCCGCTTGTTTGTGTAAACTTCATTTAGGATTCTAAACCCAAACTTCGGAAGTCAACAGCAGAAATGCTTAGCAGTGGGGTTGTAATAAAATTTTAGATGTCCTGTATTTAACCACCAATTGAGTTTAGTAATGAAAGCAGTCTAGACAACAAACAAAAAGTAGATCTATTTTTGACAAGTACTTATTTCTACCAAATAAGAACTACATTAGTAAGAATAAAGTCTAAGAATTTAACACAGGCACTATGGGATGAGATTCTGCTACTTGTTTCATACCATCAGCCCTGACTATAAGAGCCGAGATCGACTCCTATTTTCTTCTTTCACTTTGTAATAACAAGTAGTTAATAGGAAATTGCAGGTGTGTTAAAGCAGGTATCACTGCAGGTGTATTAAAGCAGGCATCTTGCCATTCATTCATCTTAGTTGGTACAGAAGCTGAACCATGCATCCTTGAGTGCTCTAATATGCTGACAAGTAGTAACAGTCTCAGGTAAACTTTTCTTTCATGTTTTGTCCTCCCTCTTTGATCGCAAAATGCTTAGAGAAGTATTCTTAAATAACCTGCCATGTGTTTAGGAAGGTTCAGATTTAAGAACTTTCTTTTTCTTTAAATTTCTTTTAATTTAAGAGAGTGGAAAAAAAAAAAAAAGAAGTTCGTTATACCTGCTGCTCTGGAAAGGAAATGAAGCATTCCAAGTTATTTACTCCCCGTCAGGCCAGGTTGTTTGGTTATTCTTCTCTACCACCTATACTGCCTTCTATTAGTTAGTCTTGAGCCTGCTCTCCAAAAACCAGAAGCCCCTTCACCTCATTCCGTGGAACTCCTGGGCAGCCCTTCTTTGAGGGGACAGGCCTACAGCTGCCCAGCACAGGCAGACACCGCCGGCCTGTCGCGCAGCAGTCCTCACCTTTCCCTGTACTTCACCCCTTTCTTCCTACTGCTCCAGCAGATCCTATATTATTTCCCAGCAAGCTCCCTCTTTCTCCTATTTCTCTCTACCCACATGTATTTTTCAAGATCAGATCAACAAGGATATAACCCCATAAAATTAATCTAAATCCCTTGAAAAAAATGTTTCCAATAATTTCTAGAAAGCCAAGAAGCATATCTGAAGAGGAAAGAAAAGAAAGTCAAGCTTATAGATGGGTTACAAAAGCAACTTGACAGACTCACGATCCCAAGAGACTCCAAGATCTATGAAACATAATTAACATGATCAAGCCACTAACTTTCCTTTATTCCTGGAAGCAGGACAGCATATTTTAGCTACTGCAATGCCTGCCCTCTCATCTGACTCCTTAGACTCTTCCCATAAATATCTGCTATTAGGCGTAGTCGGAAAAAAAATGCTGGGCCAAATGGGTAAGGCAGCCAATCAATGTGATTATTCTGAAGCCCTTTACTACTGGTGATATGAAAACTTCTCCTGGCACAGTCAAGTCTTTTCAATTTTGCGTCTGAGGTAGAGCCAAGCACTACCTAGCTAGTGAGATGAGGTAAACAAATGAATAAGCAGCTTCTAGGTCCAGCAAAACAGATTCTCATGGCTGATCTCAAATTGTCAAAGCGTTGCACCAGACTTCAAACCTTCAATGAACATGGACATTAGAAGCATTAGGGGAGGCATTCACCCTGGAATCAACAATAATTCTGCCCCTTTATCTCCGCCTCATCATACTGTGAGCATAGGGGCACATGCTTGATCAGCCTTCAAATGAAATTACTACTGGGTAAGTATTTAAGAAATGAGAGAAAAATGCTCCAGTGTGTACAACTACATCTTCGGTAGGGAACGGAAAGAAAGAAGCGACAATATTTTATGCATGTTTGTCAGATCAAGTGTCCTCCCTGTTTAAGAAAAATTATATAAAACATACCTATATTTTTATAGGCTTTATACAAAGCAACTTTACCTGTAGATTTTCATAATAGGTGTAGCAAAATCTTTATTATAAACTTGATTATAATAATCTTTATTATAAACTTTAGTCTGAACTAAAGAATGAAATCTATAGATATTCTAATCAGTATTGAACTACAGGTAGTTCAAAAGTAGTTTACAAAGGAGCCTTGCAAAATCCATTAGACAAGAACCCCTCCACACATTCATACCCTTTTCATATTAAAAGAATCCCACCAAATAGCACATTTTATCACCTTTTGCCTGTTCTGCAACACTTCAGAAGTTACAAGTGCTCAGTTAAGAACAGAATCAATACTGTACCAAGCTGGCTGGGCAAAGAGAGTTCAAGTGAAAGTAGTTTGTCCAGCCTCAATCACATAAAAGTAATTATTTTTAAATGAACAAAATAGCTCGAGCTGCAGCATTAACTGCTTTCTATTCTTTTTTCAACATTATCTTGTATTTGTTGATTAGGAAGCTGATATTCACAACTGCAAAACTGTTACCGGTTTGCAAAGCCGGCAGAATAAACATGTTGTCAAACTGAGCTGATCAAATCCCTTGTGGGAAAGAAAGCTCCTAACACTTCATTTTTAAATAAACCATGCCAGTGTATTATTAGACCAGTGCCAAGAGACGTAATTTTCTTAAAACTATCTTACTAAAGATTACAGAAGCTATTCCTCAGAATGGAAGGCTGGTTCTCTTCTCCACAGCTCCTAGACGTGCTCCAGCTGCACAGCCTCCTGAAATCACTCTTTGTGCTATATAGTTAGCTGCATTTTTCCTGTGTTGCAACTGGAGCTATCAAGAAAACAAACAAAACTCCAGCGCTCTGGATACTTTGGTGGCTCTTATGAGGGCAGTGCGGAATGCCAAGCCGGTGTGTTTCCAAAGGCACTGGGGCGATGCTCAGGCCTGCACTGCCGGAACGCGCAGCTCAGTGACCCCGGCTCCACGGCGCTGCCCGGGCTCCTGGGCACCCACAGGGCCCTGCTGCCTCGAGCTGGGAAGCGCCTCCGTGCAGGGGGGGACATTCTCCGAGCCCGAGCGCTCTCCTCGAGCCGCGCGGGGCTCTTCTCATCCATCCCCCTGCGGAGGGTTTGCGGCCGCAGAAGGTAACGCAAAAACAGGAAAACCCGAGCCCGGAGAGGTCACCGGATCCTATGAACTGGAAGCTACTTGGATTACTTAAGGGAGGCCGCGCGAGGCACCGCAGCCCCTGCCATGCCTGAACTCCCAATATATTGCACAGATTTTTCACACACTTATTAACTCTAGGGGTCCCTGGGAAAAAAACAATCATCATGGTAACCTTTCCCACAGCCTAGAGAACATGCAATATTTATGAACCAAATTTTATGTGATTTTAAACAGATTCTGTAGCCTAGCTTTTCAAACACATCTCTTCATGCAAGCGTACACAGCTAATCTAAAGGTACAAGGATGGACATCAGCTCTGGTCCTGTTCAAATCATTGCACTAGGAATTACAGCACCACCCCCACTCCAATGTGTTCCCCAGGCAGATCATACAAAATCACTGTTTTGCCTTCTTCCCCCCTGCTCCTTTTCCTACTATTTAAACATGTACTTGCATCTCCTCCGTGGACCAGGCTTACGCTTTGGACAGTTTAAGCTGTAGGTTAGCTGGATGCCTAGAAATTAAGAGAATACAACGATCCCTACAGTAATCCTTCTAAAACAACAACATGAATTCTCGTCAGGGTGTACTCATGCACTCCCTCACTGGTAGGGCCACAGCTTCACTGTCGTTTTGCAGGAACACACACAGATGAGGATGACCAAAGAGGTCAATTTTCACTATCTGTTTTCAACGGACAAGAATTATCTGGGAGTGCAAGGGTATTAAGCCACACTGGAATATCCAGGACTTCAGAAAATAAAACTCAAGGCAATGATGCTACAGAAGCATTCAGCACGGCAGCAATGTTGTTTCAGTACTGGCCTTTCTTCTTCCACCTTGGAGCTATTCCTGCCTAAACAAGCAAGGACTCAACCCTTTGCAGAGCAACCCGTTGTTTTACATGGCCCTTCCAACTGCTGGTCACAAGAACTCTGCTGGTCATAGGCTACAGAGACCTAAGCAGTCCTAGGAGACCCCTTTCTACGAACAAACTGTGCTTCTATGCCCTACTCACTGTCCTTGAATGAACGCCAGCAAGTCTGCCCTGCTTGAGCAGGGGGTTGGACTGGATGGTCTCCAGAGGTCCCTTCCAACCTCAACAGTGATTCTGTGTGATTCGCTGCTTCTAAAAATATTACCTCTAGTTAGATCACCCTCAATGGGCCTCCAAATGAAAAATACTACGTGAAATTCAATGGTAAGCTTCATGCAAGAGCTCAGACTAGATCATCCTATTGGTCCCCTCCAGCAGCGTAATTCAGGAATTCTCTGCTCAAACACTCTATTCACTTGTGCCCGACTGAACAACATACATTGTTTACATATTCAACATCAATTGCATAAAACAGCATTACAAATTAGCATAATATTTTACAGCATCCTTGCATAATTATTTATCTTTTAAAGAAAATTAAGATATACAGACATTAAATGTGCAAGCAGACTTTTTTTTTTAATCAATCAGGAAACTAAATTTAATCTTAATTTAGCAGATTCACTAGCTTTTATAGTGAGTTGAATCTCAATAATCAATATAGCTCTATTTTTTGGCACTGCAGCTACTCAGTTGTCCTCTTGAAGCCTTTTCCATCTGCACTATTCCTTCCGCATCTTTCACGACGAACATTACATTAGAAGAAAGTTCTTCCCCATCACAAAAAATCTTTCACTCTTCATTCCACAGATGAACCAATTGCTGACCTGAATAAAGCTTCTACTTCTCTGCATCAACTTACAGCACAATGACACATCTGAAACACAATATTTCCTCTTCCCCCCCAAAATTCAAGTGAAAAACAGAGAGCATAAAAGATATCGGTGTTGCTCTAAAGCTACTACTTTGTTGTTTACGTTTTTAATTCATTCACATCTGCAGTGATTTTGCTTCTCCCTTTCACCCCTTTCCCCACCCCCCTTTACATAAACAGTTATGATTGAAACTCAGTAACTGGAATTGGCCATCACCAAAATAGTGACACATCTCCCCAGAGCTCGTAATAAAGCACTTACAGTGCCTCTGTCCCCTTCATTTCACTGATTTATTTTGGCATCTTGCGCAAGGGGAGACAAACTTGCAGACAGACCCTGCCAGAACAAAGGCCTCCTTTTCCCATATAGGCTCCTATACAACCACCCGCATGGACAACAGGAACTCACAGCAAAGCCACACTCACCAAACCCACATCTTGGTCCTCAACTGGGGCCAACAGCTACACTAAGAAGATAACTAACTAGAAGGCACTACACCCAAAAAAAAAAAAAAAAAACACCTTGAAAATCCTTTAAAAGAGGAATAAGGTAAAGAATTCCTTCCCCTCCGTAGTTTTTCTGTCAAAGGCACCCTAGTCATCTTAAGATCTATGAAGTTGTTGGGAACTTACTGCTGTGGAGAGCAAGGAGATAAAGCGCATCTCCTCTGCCATTACTTCTTGCTGAATACAACAGTGTTCAACTTGTCTAAAAGGAGACAAGTTTTCCCACACAGTTAGTGTGTGCCACTGTGAGGAGAGCAGTGGAGGGGGCAAAAAAAAGCACATGAAACATGAACAAAACTTAAAATACCTACAGCTAGTTACGCTGGATTTCCCCTACCTGGTTAAATTGTGCTCTGCTGCTCTTGCTCTCCCAACATCCTTCCCCCAAATCTTAATTAAAGCATAAAATTTACTATCTGCATGACTACTTTTGGATAAATGTCCACATAAATGAAAATATTATGGTTTTTTTTCTGCTCTTACTAACTACTACAGTATTTTTCTCTCAAGAAAGGCGAGAGGGAAAGAAGTAACCTAACTCTTCACAGTTTACCACATTCTTAAATCTTCATCTAATGAATCCTTAGCTTAGATCGTAAAATCAAAATAAATTCCATATATGCAGCTTAATAAATGGAGAATAGTCTCTACTCTTTCCAAAAACCATTTAACATTTTATGCAGATAGAGATCTTCTAGAAAAATTATACATTTCTGCTTGGCACTCTCTGGAATGACACCGCTTGCTCCAAATTGCATGTTTCAGAGGGGTGCTCCCAAATAACCAAAACCTCACTTTCCCTGTCAGTTTTTTTGGAAAGTGCTATCTGCAACAATGAGTCATCAGCTGCTGCAGCACAACATCATGTTCTTTTCAAGCCTCTGCAGCCCCTTTAAAGAAAAACATGGTCCTTTAATGACAGACATAATTCCCTGCAAGGCCTGCCTGCAAGAAAGCCAGTCAGCTTCATCTCACTTAATGAAACTACCTGCAAAACTGACACTAGAAACTCAGAACTGCATGTGATTTTTAGCACACATGCCTCAAAAAAAAATTTCAATTCTCTTCATTCTTACTCATTTGGCTCAGTAGAGGACAAATCATTTAATATCAGAAAGAATATACTGTTCTAAGTGTTTTGCAGTAGTTGTCCTAGGATATTTTAAGGGTTCCTGGGTCATAATTACTATCTTAAAAGAGAGCTTTATGATTAGTCTCTCTCCACATGCCCGAGTTGTTGCAATGTTCAGTTTAACTGAATATACTGGGACACTATTTGAGACTTGATGTGTTTTAATATCTTGTTAGTATTTTAATATCTTGTTATTCCACTGCTATGTCCCCAGAATAAACTTCAGCATTTCAGCTTATGAAACCAACATGCTACAATAAGTTTATCAAGTAAAAAGACTCTTCTTCCATCTGAGGCACCTTCCTGACTTCTACTCATCTCTGAAATAAACAGAGTGGAGAAGGTCTCCCTGCTTTATCCTGCTTATTTGCTGGCATTGTAGTTAGCGTGTTATTTCCCTAACTACAAAACAAAGAATAAACAGCAGTAAGAAAAAATGCATTTGTCTCACCTGCTTAGGAGTGACCCCAGGCATGCGAATGTCCAGTGCAAAATCTGAGAGACCGAGTGAAATCATTGGCCTGTTGCTTCCAAGGCATTCGTTGGAAAGAGACCTAGTAGTATCTTTATACCTTAAAAAGAAGGAAAGATTTCAAAAATACTTTTTTTTTTATAAGCTTCTAAAGATGGGGCTTTGAAACAAAAAAGTGGACAACTCTGAGGGACTCCAAAACTGATTTGGGAGCTTCATGCTTTTGTGAACAAGGAAAAACCCCTTAGCTACCAAGCAGGTTTTGAAGCAGCTCCTATGAATAATCAGGCAGACTACCTCACACAGCATTGGCTTAAAAGCAAGAAAATACTCAATGCAACCTGTCAGTTCTTCTAAATAAGAGTCTGTGTGTGCCGATAAAGAATTAAATGACAAAAATATTTCAAATATTGCTAAGCACTCAAAGCTTTTTTTAAGACCATATACCTGATGTAGCATGTAATACCAATTAAATCCAAATTATGTGTAAAAGGGAAATTTTTCATTGCAGACACTATGTCATTAACAGCAACTCTGCCTTCTCATTGTATGCCAGCAAAGTAAAGCAGCAAGTTTTACAACTTCACATGATTGTTAAGGAGGTCTGTATTGAACGGAACATAATATAGGAAGGCAGATCACTATGAAGAATACAACATATGAGATGTGATGCAAGTCCAACGCACATTTTGAGCATGTGTTTACAAATAACACTAAACAACAATGGACAGTGTTCCTCATATACAATAACACTTTTTTGGAGGAGTTAAGAGGCTATTTCTCTTCTATGTGTTACTTTCAAAATATTTGTTTATGCAACTTTACATTCGGGACTCCCAGAAATGTCCGGAATTCTCTCATTTTAAGTGATCTAATGCTTCCTCATTAAAGCACACCGGTTTACATTGCAAGCTAACAGGGACAGGGGACATATATTTACTGATCGTGTCAAGTCTCAAGTACCCTTGAGGGTTCTACAAAAATTCCTGTTAATTACTGTTTAATCATTCTAATAGAGAAAACTCCTAACTTCCGAGAGCAACGTGAGGGTAACACAACAGCCAGTCTTTCAGGCAACAAAAAGAAGCCCTTTCAGCATCACAGAAAGGGGTTGCTCAGAATAAGGGCGCAAAACCCCACCAGCACCACGGTGGTTTTTAAGCGGGACATACTAGGGACATCTCCTTCCCACTTGACCGCGCGGGAGGGAGGGAGGGCAGCCCAAAAGCACGGCCCGAAAGCGCGCGCTGCCCCACGACCCACCTCTTGAGGACAGCGAGCGGGCTCCTGAGCGCCAGGCAGCTGCTCTGGGCAAGCAGCAGCAGCAGCAGCAGCAGGGTGTTACTGTGGCCGGCCATGGCCGCCCGACGCCCCGGCCGGGCAGGGCGGCAGCGAGGGGCAGCTCGGCTGCGACGCTGGCAACGCAGTGGCGGCGGCTGCAGTATCACTTTGCTACTCCATCCCCGCGCGCTCGGCAGGCGCCCCGCAGCTTCTGACACACCATCTGCCTCGCACGGCGACGCGCTGGGAAGCGGGGAGGAGGACGGAGCTCCAGAGGAGGCCGGCGCAGGGTCTCCCCTTGCAGGCAGAGGGGCCGGCGCCGCGCTCCGCTCGCGGAGCGGCGCTCCCGGGGCTTTGCCGGCGGCGTCTGAAGGGCGCGTATCAAGCCCCACGGGCAGCGGCGCTAAGTGGCATCGCCGAATCCCACGTCAGTCATCCTCCAGAACCTGCAAAAATAGAAGCGGATGAAGGATGACTAACACATTGCAGCATTAGTGCTCAGCAAATCCCTGCCGAGGCTTTCTAATACATTAGGACTTGGGCGAGCGTTAGCCCAGCCCAGGGAAGAACGCACCAAAGTCTGTCGATTCCTCCCCTCCCTCCCACCCAGCGAGACGCACACTGATACATTCAATACTGATGAGAGGCAAAACTCCCACCAGAATTTGTAGTCTGCCTGGTAGGAAAAACAGCAGAAACAGGCAAAAAAAAGCCAAAGCCTGGAGTATTTCACACATATAAACTGTAACATGTCCTACAAGCAGCAAAGACCAAACAAACAAAACCCCCAAGAACAACAACCCACTCGCAGAGCAAGAAAGAACCTTTCTAAATCCCAACAGCTACGATTAAGTGTTCCGGCACTCCTGGCAGCCTGACAGAATGTTTTATTTACAACACAACCAAAAATGCTGCACAAAAACTACTACTGACATCAAACTCCTTTAGAGAAGCAGGATTCAGCTAACATGTCTTTCGTACATTCAGGTTAGTTCTGCTGAAGCTATTACTTTCCTTCCTGCAACTTTTACCTTAGCTGCCCTTATATCTCTTTTTAATTGATTATGCTATTCAGTTTCTAAAATTTAGGGGTATTTTGTCTTTTTTTATTGTTGTTTTCTTTTGCTTTATTTTATATATTATGTATATGCATATATATATACACACACACATATTTTATATATATATATATATATATATATATAAAATAAAAGAAAAAAAGAAAGCCCTGAAGCTCTGCAATAATGAACATGCTACCAATGGCATACCAGACTTTTTACTAAGCTGTCAAGAGACGAATTTCAACTCACAAATAAGATCCAAACCTTTATAACAGATTCTTTAAGGTATTATTTAGTAATTCTGATACAACTAATTCCTTTGGGAAGAACAAAACAAGAACAAACCCCCCCACTATCTTCCAGTCGCTAGAAACCGCAGCGAAAAGCACAAGCCGCAGGAAAAGAGCAAAGAGAGGGAAAGGAAAGGAGGCGGCATTGCCACGGCCGCGCGGCAGCAACTCGCCGGTGCCTGGGCGCGAGGGCGAGCGCTCGCAAGCCGCGCTGAGCGCTGCGCGGGCACCTCGCCAGCTGCTGGGCAGCTGCACGGATTTGCATTCACGTATTTGGAAAAGATGGACAAAAACACCCGCCCTTGATTTTATTAATCAGCATTAAACTTGGATATTTTAATCAGCATTAAACTTGGATATTTTATTCATTTAAGGCTGGCACAAAAGATTCCACCACAAACAACTAAATGTGGACTTGAGCTTTGTCTGCGGCTCGTCAGGGCAGGCCGCAGCTGCCCAGAACCACCCGCACAGGCACTGATGCACGACTCAGCCCTGCCATTTACATAGAATTGAATCGCTCCGTTCCCGTGATCTATTGATCAATGAATAAAATTGAATTCAGAAATGAATTCTGAGATATTACAGTACGCTATGATTTGATTTTCTGGTTTCTATGCAACAACTCTGAGGGGTTTTTTTTTCTTTCCCTCTATTCTTTTTTTTTCCTTCCAATATGCTTTTCTTTTATATTAGTTTTGAGTATAGCATGGCTGAAGAAATGCTTCATGTTTCCCTAGACAGTACTAACCATCTTTCTAGCCATTTAGCTCTTTCCTTCAGAGGAGAAAAAAAATGGCACAGATCAGAACGTGTGGGGGGGAAAAAAAAAACAACAACAAAAAAAAATTTAATATTTGAAATCCTATTTAGCCCATTTACCAAACAATAACAAATCGGGAGGAGCTGATGCTTAAAAATTCTGCTTGCTCTTAAGACACACGGGTAAGTACATTTAACATGGAAGCACTCTGAAAAGTGAAGGTGGAAAGGAGTAGCAGCTACATCCCAATGGGTACACAACCTGTTGGAGCTTCAAGGCTGGGAATCTGCAAAGGTATTTCCAAGCAACTGAGAAATAAACAGGTGCTCCTAATTTTGTCCAATGCCATGAAGTTGGAAATGATTTATATCAACTGCTACAAACACCTACTTGGCTTATGAATTACCTGGAGAAAACTACAGAGAAACATGATAATTACACAGGGGCTTGCTTGCAGCAGCTTCCAGTTCTCCTTGTAGAGCTAAGCAGAGTAAGAGATGGAACAAGTCACCAGAACATAGCTTGGTTTTACAGGAAAATATTGATCCATATCATTCACAAGGCTGCTCACAAGAATAAAGAAAACAATCTGGAATTACCTGAAAAGGCAAAAAAATTAAGTCCTTAATGAGCTCCTAACACACACATGCCTAATAGCCATGTACGCTACTTAAATACAGGCCTACTTCATCTACCAAGCTTGTTTTTAACTGCAGTTTCATCAACTGGATGGAAATGTTAAGTGGATAAAAGCTAAGACTATCTGGTACTGGAGAGGAGGCCCTTGCACACCAAGGCAAAGCAGGGGACAAAGCAGGGGGATGGGGAAAAGGCAGCTTGATCCCGGGGAGATTTTCATCTAATTTTAGATATGATGCAATGAGCAAGTCCACCAGGCAGTGAGAGAGAAAAGCAAAGATGAGAGATTCCATAATAAGATTACACGGTTACTTAGGTTCATTACGGGGACATCTCGATGCCACTGTTTCCCTTTCAGTTTGGAGTAAGAGATCCTGAGGGAGCTGGAGAAGTGAAGTTAATCAAGGTAATTTACGGCAGAGACCAGAGCATAAGGGCGATGGAGATTATTTTGGGCAAGGTGGGCATATGCTTTCATCTGCCATGCCCGACCTAACATAAAAGAAGGGCAAAAAATTCATGGACACACACTCAACAGCCACCTGAAACCAGTTGGAAGGGATTTTACTGAACGAGTTGAGAAGTGACACGGCCCAGAAGCTCCAACTTCAAATACAATGCAAAAAAAAGCATGAAGAACCAAGTAACCATATTTCACTGGGATTTAAAACAAAGAGCAAGTCTTTTCAAAAGAGGAGCAATTAGCTGATCGATCACCAAAAAAGGACTACAGAAAACACTTGGCATTAACTAAAAGTTCCCAGAAGTGGGCTATAATCTCTTCTTCTGAGATTTAGTGATTAGAAAGCATCAGGTGCAGCACAAATGGAACAAAGTAAGAGGCAGAAACCTCACTTTCCCTCACCACTGCTGGCAAGGAAAGGAGCAAGGACAAAACTGAACACATCCAACAGCAGAGTGGTGTCAAAGTCTGTCACAGGAGGTAACTTCTCATGGGTAATTTTTTCCTTGCTTCGTGTTCATCAAAATCATACATGGCAAGATAGGAAGGCCATATAGGAAACTTTTCCAAACATGAAGAGTACAGCAGAGGGAAAGCTGATGGAAAAGATGAAAGAAAATACCTCCAAAGTCAGAAAAAAAGTCAAACAGAAAACTGGATACTGTATTTGTCACTACATGTACAGCAAGTGTTAACACAGACAAGCCTCCCCAGATTCATGTACTTGAGTTCTCCAAATGCCCAGAGCATATGGTCCGAGTGCATGCCATAGCTCTCTGGCACGTAAGCTCAAACTAAATCAGCTCAAATATGACCCTGGATGAGAGAATCCTAATTTCTGAACACCTGCCTCTTTGGTTAGCAGCCTGTTTGGTGCCATCCCCATAAAGACCAACAACAATATTGTTTGCAGCCCCATAAGTTCTGACATGTGCTATTTAGGGACTGGGATAACTACAGGAGAACATTTTGATTCCAGGGGCGGGGGGGGGGAGGGGGGGGGTCAAAACAGATGCCATGTGCTCCAGGTGACCCTGCATGTGCGGGGGGGGGGGGGTTGGACTAGATGATCCCTAAAGGTTCCTTCCAACCTTAAGGATTCGATGGTTCTGTGATCTCAAGCCCATCTGTGACAGCAAGCATTTTTATTTCATAATCAGATATTTACAGCTTTCCTACTTTTTGTCCAGAGGATGCGCTAGTTCTTCATGAATTATTCCGACGAGGCACCAGAACAGATGCCTGACGCCTGGCTACGCAGGTACCTGGGGCACAGGGCAGTAGTTAGGCGAGCCGCTGAACCGCGACCAGGCCTCCAGGTCGAAGCAATTTGTTTCTCGTAGCACAGCCAAAGATCAGCACGTTGGGGGATCAGCCTGGGTCACGTTCATTAACACACAGACTGCAGCCGCCTCCAACGCCTCGGTTCGAGGGGACTGTGGAATGGACGGGGCAGGAGGCCAGCAAAGCGGTGTGTGCGACGCTGGCGCCATTTAGGCCGCAAAGGCGGCGCCATTTAGGCCGGTGGCTGGGAGAGGGGACGCCACGAGCGCACACGCTCATCCCATTCCCTCGGCAAGGGAAACCAAGGCAAACCACAGCTCAGGATAAGCACTTCTGGAGGCCAACGCAGCTACGAGTACAAAGAGCATAAAGCCCACTTTAATGTCACTATGTACTTTTAACTCATGTATGTGTCAGCCAAATGTTACGCCATATGTAGCGAGTTTTTTTTAAAGTAAATATCAAAAATTATCCCCACTTAAAACAATTCATTAACCAAACGTTAGTTTTTCACCATAAAAACGTCTTTCAGCTGGGACTTCTATAGGACTGTTCTGATGAGAGTGGAAATTAAACTTTCAGTATGTGCCAAATCTATCCC